AAGACATTTGGAAATGGGATCATAAAAGGAATGATTTCTGGCAGAGTATATGTGGTTTTGAAGACGCAGCTTTTCAGGGCATTTGCATCAACCTGAGCGTTTGGAAACAGGCCTTCTGTAAGAATCTGCTTCTAAAGGGAGTATCATAGGCCTAAATTTCTAAAATGTAAGTACATTTGCTCCATACCTATGTATCACTTCATAGCTTAGAGACTTCATCTTAAAGCAGGAGCTAAACCCAATCTGTAATTGCACAACTCTGAGACAGTCCATGTTTCTCCCACAATTGTGTCCTGTGCCTTGCTGTCTGGATTACTTAATGTAAAGCACTCTTTAAGTCAACTGTACTCTGGATGAATACCTGTTACCTTTCAGTTTTCCTTTTGGGAAAAAGACTCGAGCATGTTCCCTGTAATCTTGTCCCCACATTTCTTTTCTGTGTTGTCTTTTCCTAGCATCTTAAAATCAGTTCTTACAATCATAGAATCATGCAGGTTGGAAAAGACCCCTACAGTCTTCTAGTTCAACCTTTCACCTAGCACTGACAAGCCCACCACTAAGCCATACAAGTAAGTTCTACATCTCCACGTTTCTTGAAGACCTCCAGGGATGGTGACTTCAGCCACTGCCCTGGGCAGCCTGTTCCAGCACCACCCAACCCTAGCTCCCTCACCTGCTCCTCATAGGACGTGTGTTCTAGATCCTTCACCAGCTTCGTATCCTTTCTCTGGACATGCTCCAGGGCCTTGATGTACTTCTTGTACTGAGGGGCCCAAAGCTGAACACAGTAATCAAGGTACGGCCTCAACAGAGCTGAGTACGTGGGGACAGTCACTTCCCTAGTACTGCTGGCCACACTCTTCCTCATACAGCTTCCTGAAATCAGCTCTGGTGAGGCTGCACCTCAAGTACTATGTTCAGTTTTGGGCCCCTCACTACAGGAAAGACATTGAGGTGTTGAAATGTGTCCAAAGAAGTGTAGTAAAGCTAGTAAAGGGTCTGGAACGCAAGTCCTGTGAGAAGCATCTGAGGGAAATGGGGAAGAAGAGGCTCAGGGGAGACCTTATTGCTCTCTCCCAACTTACCTGAAAGGAAGCTGTGAGGAGCTGGGAGTTGGACTCTTCTCGCAGATAACTAGTGATAAGACTAGAGGGAATGGCCTCAAGTTGCACCAGGGAAGGTTTAGGTTGGAAATTAGGAAACATTTCTTCTCAGAGAGCAGTTGTGCATTGGAACGGGTTGCCCAGGAAGTGTTGGAGTCACTGGGGGTTGTTCAAGGAAAGGTTGGACGTGGTGCTTAGGGACATGGTTTAGTGGGTGATGTTGATGTTAGAGGGGTGGTTGGACCAGATGATCTTGGAGGTCTTTTCCAACCTTGATGATTGCATGATTCTGTGAAAAGCCAGGATGACATTGGCCTTCTTAGTCACCCTAGCACACTGCTGGCTTATGTTCAGCTGGCTATCGACCAGTACCCCCAGGTCCCTTTCCACCGGGAAGCTTTCCAGCCACTCTTCCCCAGCCTGTAGCATTGCATTGGGTTGTTGTCCCCTAAGTGCAGGACCCAGCACTTAACTTTGTTGAACCTCGAAGTATTGTCCTCTGCCCATTAGTCCAGCCTATCCAGATCCTCCTTCAGAGTCTTCCTACCCTTGAGCAGATCAATGCTGGCACTTAACTTAGTGTTGTCTGTGAGCTTAATGAGGATGCTCTCGATCCCCTTGTCCAGATGATGAAGATACTGAAGAGAGTTGCCCTCAGTACTGAGCCCTGGGGGACACCACTTGCAACTGGCCTCCAGCTGGATTTAACCCCATTCACCACGACTCTTTGGGCCCGGCCACCCAATCTCTTTTTAACCCAATGAGGCATACAGCCATCCAAGTCACGAGCAGCCAGTTTCTCCAGGAGAATGCTGTGGGAAACAGTGTCAAAAGCCTTACTGAAGGTAGACCACAGCCTTTTCCCCATCCACTAAGTACATCACCTTGTCACCGAAGATCAGGTTCATCAAACAGGACCTGCCTTTCATAAACCCATGCTCACTGGGCCTCATCACCTGGTTGTCCTGTATGTGTCGCGTGATGGCACTCAAGATAATCTGCTTCATCAGCTTCCCCGGCACTGAGGACAGACTGACAGGGCTGTAGTTCCCCGGGTCCTTCCTCTGGCCCTTCGTGTAGACAGGTGTCACATTTGCTAGCTGCCAGCCGACTGGGACTTCCCCCGACAGCCACGACTGCTGACAAATGATGGAAAGCGGCTTAGCAAGCACTTCCACCAGCTCCCTCAGTACCCTTGGGTGAATCCCATCTGGCCCCATAGACTTGTGTACGTCTAAGTGGTGCAGCAGGACACTAACCGTGTACTCTTGGATTATGAGGGCTTTGTTCTGCTCCCTATCCCTATCTACCAGCTCAGGGGGTTGGGTGCCCAGAGAACAAACTGGTCTTACTGTTAAAGATGGAGGCAAAGAAGGCATTAAGTACCTCAGCCCTTTCCTCATCTCTTGTCACTGTTTCCCCACCACCCCTGCCCCATCCAATAAAGGATGAGGATTCTCCTTAGTCTTCCTTTTCTTGTTTATGTGTTTATAAAAACCTTGTTTATTGACTTTAACAGCAGTAGCCAGACTGAGCTTAAGTTGGGCTTTGGCCCTCCTGATTTTGACCTTTGCACAGCCTCAAGACATCTTTGTAGACCTACCAAACGGCTTGCCCCTTCTTCAGAAGGTCATAAACCTTCTTTTTCTTCTGAGCTCTAGCCACAGCTCTGTGTTCAGCCAGGATGGTCTTCTTCCATGCTGGCTCATCTTTTGGCACGTGGGGACAGCCTGTTGCTGTGTCTTCTTTCTTGAATTCCGTCCTTCCTGGACTCCTTTGCCTTCCAGGACTGCCTCCCAAGGAACTCCACCAAACAGTCTCCTAAACAGGCCAAAGTCTGCCCTTTGGAAGTCTGGGGTGGCAGTCCTGCTACCCCCCCTACTTTTCCAAGAATCAAAAACTCCATTAATTTGTGGTTGCTGTGCCTGAGATGACCTCCAACCTTTTCTTCAACGTTCTTTTTTTGCTTTGTTTGAGCCATCTGACATCTCTGGTATCTCCATCACATTTTGTTGCCAATCCCCTGCTTCCTGCCTACTTGTTCCTTTGAGGAAAGAGTCCCTCATCGTGTATGTGAGAAGCCATGGATGATACCACTGCAGGTGGCGGATGTTTTCTTTTGCAAATCCAACCTTAAAAAAAATATATATATATTCCTCACAGTGATGGGAAGGTTTCAAGTGCATTCAGGACTAATGTTCCTGTTAGGGTTTCCTTTTCAGCTGACCTTCTTTGGGCTTTTACTTATATAACGGCTGCCTCTTGGGTACCTTTTTAGATTTTCTTACCCCCTCTGGTTGCTTTAATGTGTTGGCTTGTGAAGTTGTTTGTGGGGAGTAGAATTTGTCCTGTTTTGAATAAGGAGTTCCAAAGCCACTAGGCTGTTTTATTATTTATAAAGGGCAATATAAAAGATCAATATTATTATCATGTACGTAATAGTATAACTTAAGCTGTTCTTTGGCTTTCTCAGTGTGATAAGTCTTTTATGCAGCAGTATTCCAGAGCCTGTTCTTTTGCACAGTTATAAGCATGTTTTCTTTGGATAATAAATAATACTAGCCTTTGAACTCAAAACATAAATACAGATGTAAAAATGTTTTAAAGGCATAGCTGTGGCATATGATAGATCGTTCTAATGTTAGATTATAAATGTAGTCATTTTAACAAGTTGAAGTGATTAGATTTGTCCATATGGAGCAAGTTTTATCAGTGTTGCTCTACTGAAGGTGATTAGTTCTGACAAATTCTGAAAATATCCCTTATCTTCTTGTGTGATGAGTAAACCTTTGTGAAGCTAAATAATTAAGCTCGGTATTGAAAACCTGGTTACTTTGATTGCAAAGTCACTCATCCACCAGATTAATAATTGAGATTAATTTTTTTTACACAGGCAATCTAAATTTCTTTGCATGATGGATAATGGAAACCATGGGAGTCATGTAGCTGCGAATGACATACCTGATTTTGAAACCTGATATTTGAAATGAGTAATTGGTAACTAGACAGCTCTTTAACATGAGGGCAGGTTCTGATGTCTGGTACTGTAGTGTCTCCGTGTTTTCTGATTTTGCTTGAGATCTTCAGCGCTTTAAGTATTCCATTTTTGAGAGTTGTAAACATGGCTCTAGGTTCTGATCATCTGTCCCTCTTCTCATTAGATAAAGACTAACACAAATGAAGAGCTCCCGAGTATATGAGGGTGAGAAGGAATTGGGTTTCTTATTAGGATTTCAGGGGGCCACCATTGTGCTTCACATAGAAATGAATGAACCGTATGCTATTTTACAGTGGCTTCTTAGGGAGAGCAGTGCATAGTGGTTGTGGATGTCCTCACAGAATTGTAGGGGTTGGAAGGGACCTCCAGAGATCATCAGGTCCAACTCCCCTCCCAAAGCAGGTTCCTGAGAGCAGGTTGCCAAGGTAGGCGTCCAGAGGGGCCTTGAACATCTCCAGAGAAGGAGACTCCACAACCTCCCTGGGCTGCCTGTCCCAGTGCTCCGTCACCCTCACCGTGAAGAAATTATATTGCATGTTGGTGTGGAACTTCCAGTGATCCATTTTTTGGCCATTGCCCCTTGTCCTGTCCCCACAAACCACCAAAAAGAGGTTGTCCAAATCCCTCTGTCTCCCACACTTAAGGTATATTTAAGTGTGCCTAGATTGTCTAGTGTATCTCAGCTGTCTAGATGACCGTAGCCAGCTGATGGAAAGCTGACCCTGTCTTGAAATTATTTGATTGTTAGTGAAAAGATGTTCTTTAAGGAGTGGTGTTATTTGCACTGACATAGTAGGCTGACATAGTAGGTGATAAGCCACTGAACTGAGTACCAAATTAATGTTTTTGTTGTTGTTGTTTTTCTTTGCATTTCATCCTCCTTTTCCTGCTTAACCCAGAAAAACTGATTGAGGGGCTCAAATCTCCTGAGACTGCGCTTCTGCTCCCTGATATCCTGCCTCTTGCTGACCCCTTCGGTAGCACGTCAGATGCTGTGAATGGTAACAATAAACTCAGGGTACCTCCTTCCCTTTGTCTGACACGGCATGCCTTGTCCTGCATGATAACTCTGCGTGTTTACCCTGTTGGGCTTTGAAAACAGCTGCTGATGTTGGCAAAATGCAATGTGATAGGAAGATACAGATTATACAGAGACAAATCTGCCTTCTCTGGGAAACCATGAGAATCACGATAATAAGGCATGGTTGGGCCTTGTGTATTCTTCTGGTCATGGGTAGAAGAGAGGTAATTGTTGACCGAAGAAGATGCAAAAAAAAAATCTCTCAATTTCTTCTAAAGACTGTGTGTATGACTGTGGCCTTGGCACTCAGCCTGTCTGTCATCGGCCCTCAGCAGGAGGAGGAAGTGAGCGTTTGCTCTGGGGCATATTGTGAGAGTAAACGTGCTGGGCTGTGATGAGCCCAAATGCAACAGGCTCCAAGACAGTGTGAAGGCTTCAGTGTTGTAGAACCATATTTTGACCCACTTGCCAAATAAACTAAAAACTAATGATTGCAGACTTCAATAACTTGCAATCAGTGGCTCTTTCAGTTTTGGGTCCAAGCCAGGGTTTCTTGGCTGGCTTGTTGCAACCTTGTAGCTTTGAATGCAAAAGTAGGAAATGAGTCACCTAACTGTAAGACTTTTCTTCCTCTTGTAGTTCTGACAGTTGTCTGAATATTCTTAGATAATGATCCTACAAGTCACAAAGAGACTGACTGCTACGCAAACAAAAATATTCATGGATCTCTTGCGTTGGTCAGCTAGACCATTTCTGATCCTAGCACTGGAATGCATCCTTGTTCTTCAATTTCACTTTTTGACTCGTTACCTTAATTTTGGTCCTTAAGGAAGAGACCCAGACTAGCATTATACCTGGTTGTTGTGACTGTGTTGACAGTCATCCTCTGTCCGTCCCCCTTCCTTTAAGGATTATACGAAAACAAATCTTTCTGTCCAGCCTTTATAAGCATCTCCATCCATAATGGATGTCAGTGTTCAACAATACTGGGGACCGGTATTTTCAGTAAGATGTTAAGTTCTAAAAATGTATCACCTCTCACTGGGGACTACAAACTTTGCTTTGCTGAGCACTGCAAAATGAAAAAACAGATCTCACAATCTTGGCTTTATACAAGCTTAGCTGGGAACATACTAAGGGCTCCACAGTGGGTTTGTTAATGATCTGTTGTTACCTCTATTGCAAGGACACTCCTCAAAGGTCAGTGGGTTTTTTTGTTTGGTGGTGTGTTTGTTTGTTTTTCTGGAAAAGGTCCTTGCAAAAGCCTGCGGTTACTTGCCCAGCCCCAGGTCCTGTGCTTAGCTGCAGGGCAGGCATTAGTAGCCTTCAATTTCAGCCTTTTGAATATTTCAATTTGCGCACACACGCACCAAAAGAAAACAGAAAAGCTCAAAGCCAACGAACGCTAGTTTCTTAATCTTTTCTAATGGTTAAATTGCTATCAGTCTAACTTCAGCATCTCACTGCCAATGTAGCTGACAGGTGTCAATGAGATCAATGAGTTGCTAAAGGATTCAGACAACTGCCTTCTTAGTTCTAACTTTTGTGGTGTCTTGCAAACTAACCTCTGGATTCTCCTCTGCACTGGTGTTTTGCACATTTGGAAAGGAAAACCTGACGTAGCTGTTGAGAGTCTCATACCAGGCCTCGAGGCTCCATTGCCCCAACGCCTTGTGTCGCAGACTGAGTCGGTTGCTTCCAACAGAACAGGTTGGTGAGGTGGGAGGGTCTGTGGCAGGGCAAGGGTGCATTGCACTGGGATGGGCTGTGTAACCTTGCTATAAAAAATCAGAGTATCTGCATGGACATAAACATCTCTTCTCTCACTGCTTTCCCCACCAATGTAAACTGTGCTTGCTGGTGTGTTTTGATAAGTGGGTGCTGCACGGTTCCTTAAAAGTCAATGCTGTTTGTTGTTTGAATGGTACAGCATTCCTTCAGCCCACTATTACAAAGCTTAGGTGCCAGAGTAATGCTCTGATGAATATTTTGAAATCTGGAGCACTTGCAGATTTCTGTTTGTTCTGTAATGGTAATGAGCCATTCGTGTTCCTTTCTAATTATGAAGGTGTTGATCTGGCATCTTCTGCTGCAGATGTACTTGATATCTTTTCAGAGGTCTGCTGTGAAACTGCCAGTGCGCTTAGTTTTGCCAGAGTCCCTGCAACTCTTTTTCCCTCCATCCCCCCTATCTAATTTAATGTATTGCTTGTATGGGCTTTCACTGTTGTATACTCTACTTCAGAGGGCAGTTAGCACAACAGAAGCTGTGTTATATATTGATAAAGGTGTTGGAAATCCCTCTGCCCTCACTGCAGAGAAGTGAGAAATATTTTTCACTATAAAAAAGGACAGTTTTTTTGCTGGCTTTGCATCAATGCTCTCTTTGCACGCTAAATGGACGGGAACAGGAATGTGCGAATGTGAGTTTAACAGTGTTTGTGTCCTATTTAATGCTACCTTGCGGCCTTGGGATGTTAACCTGGATTCAGACTCTCTCACTGGGGAAGACTCTCTGCTTGACTGTTCTCTGCTTTCTAACCCTGCTGCTGACCTCTTGGATGAGTTTGCTCCTGTAGCTTTCACGGCTCAACCTCACAAAGGTAAACAGTCCCTCCTGTCTCTAATGTCTAATCAATCCTAGAAGTCGGTCTTCTGACATGAAATGAAGCTAATACCAGTTTACACAAGCAGATGCTATGCTCCATGTTCTAGTGGTGCGTTTGTTTGTTTTTTCCCCCAGGCCATTGCTTTGTTTTTTCCCCAAGCTGGTGAAACTTGTAATGGGAATTGAAGCACTAAGGGGAAAATACAGGTTAATGTATTCAGCCTGATTGTAAATAAAGGCAGGTGATATCTTCCACAAGACAAAATGACATAGTGAGCGTAAAGGATGGGTGATTTTTTGTATGCAACCCTTCTTCAGGATGATGTGTGAATACTCTTGTTTTGCCTTTTGCACATAAGATGTAAGACTTGCTTTTATGCTGTATTATTGAATTTGGAAGGGAGCCTGATAATGATCTATACTGGTGTCACATGTTTCTGAATGTTTGTTTTTTTTTGTCTGTCGACATTCATGTCTGTAGCATGTGACTGAGCTCTTTCAGATCTGGAGGCTGATTTCAGTGGTTATCAGGAGAAGGTTCTTGAGTCAAACCAGCAAAAATGAATGAAAGTCTAAGTACAATATCTAATTGAAAAGTGGAGTAGTTTTACAGTAACACAAAACAGCAGAGCTGCAAAGTAGATTGTGATAATTTCTAAGAGTTGCAGATCTGCCCTTTATTTTTTCAGCTTGAGGGGATCTATGAAAATACAGTGCAGTGGTCTGAGTTCTGTTCTCTCTTCCACTAAAAATCAAGAAGAGAGGACCCTGGGAAGCTGGATCCTGTATCAGATGACTTTTTTTTTTTTCCCCCAGCTGCAGAGCATCCGGCTAAAATTTGGGCCTTCTCATGCGCTGAAGGTGTAGTAGTAGCAGTGGAGTAGTTTGAAGAGCTATCAGCTGAAGTGTGACTTTCATGGTGAATACTTCCAGCTCTGTTCTGGCACATTCCTGCTATGGGCTAAAGCAGTTGTGAACAGTGTGTGCCTCCCTTGAGGACAAGGCAAATGTTAGCAGATGATTTGTATAAGCCAAGCTTGTAGTGAGTATTGGGTAATACACCTCCACCTGAGTGGGAGGGAGGACCAGGACTTTTGTGCTATTTATTGCCTTGCAAAGACTGGCTCAGAGGCTTGAATGCTAACCATTTGGTGCCTCTTGACAGTGGGTTTTGCTAAGTTCGTTTGGTAAGTATCCCTATAGCAACACAAAATGATCTGTCCTCAGAGGAATTGCTGTAAAACAGTCTGCAATCAATTTTTACACTTGATGGCACTTCAAAATGAGACTATTTTTCATAGAGCTTTTGAGTTTAAACAAGCAGTTGTTCTAATTGCTGTTTGCTATAATACACTTTCATGCCACTTTATTTTGAGTAAATGGCTTGAAATATATGTCAAACAATTATTACTCTGTGTCTGGAACATAGCAAAGCCAAAACATTGTTGGTGTGACTTAATGAGAAAACAAATTAACAGACTTCTGCATGACTTCTCCCTGGCTGCCCTGCTGTTCCCTCTGGAATGAGAAGGGCTCACATTTGACAGGGACTGTGAGACTTCCATCAGCAGGAGTAGGGGCAGGGAGATGGGGAAGGGGGCAAAATATAAATAAACTCTTCCAAAATTAATTGGTGGCTTCCCTTCAAACCCTGCTTTTATAGCTCTGGATGTGGCCATTAAGTATACTTCTGTCCCATTCTTTTTTTTGGTTTGTTTATCCAGTCCTGGCTTTGGTGTTGTAAAGCTGATGGGGCAGATAGTGATATCCATAGGTGTAATCAGCCCATGGAACCGCAGTGCTGCATGTTCTCAGCGGGACCAAGAGGACAAGAAAAAGCAGCTGTGTTTTGAACATGGTTTAATGCTTCAGCCAAGCCATAGCATCCTTTCCTGTGTGCTTTACTAGGCTGTGTTGCGTTTTGTGGCTGCTGAGTTTTTGTTCAGCTTTCAGGATTTCTTAACCTGTGTTTGCTGAACACAGCTCTAAGCTGCATGTGTGTGAGAGAAAAGAAGTTTTTTTCCAGTTATAGTGATGCATAGTTATAAAGGCAAGCTCAAATGTTTTTGTGCATAGATACTTCTTCCATGGAGTTCTGCCCAAAATGGGACACTCGCAGCTTTTCCCTCTCCTCAGGAAAGATGGTCCACAACTGAGCAGTGTTCCTTGACTACCTTGACAAGGTTCTTGTATAGCAAACTCTGGGCGTATGAGGAATTGTAATTATAAATGAAGTCAGATGAAAATAGGATGCTTTCAGAGGCTCTCAGCAATGTTACGAAGAGCCACAAATAACTCCAGACAGTGATGACAGGACGAGACTTTCTGTCAAGACCAAATATATTTGGTTTTGATGCCTTACAGCCTAGTCTTCTATAAAACTTTCTTCCTTTCTTCTTCTTTTTTGCCTGAATCTGATCTTCCAGAGGACAAGGTATTTTTACAAGTTGGTTCTTGCATCATCTTAACCCAAAGCATGTTAGTGCACCTGTCAGCTTTAGGTAAAGAGCTTTTATTTTTGATCCAAACCTAACAGGAATGTTACCGTTCCTTGGAAAAGGAATCGACTTTTACGTGTCCTTGCGATGCTTTCTGACATATTTCATGTAGTAATTGAGAACCAGATTTTGGAAGGTATTTTAGGTGTCTAAAGTAAGTAGTAGTGATGCACAGTGAGAGTATGAAAGTCCCTAAAGGTGTGTAATTGCTTGATAAGGCTAATAAATGTCTGAGCTACTGTGAAAGTAGTTGAAAGTGCCTCCCACCAAGTGTCTAATTCCTGTTGACATGGTTTAAAATCAATGGAATTATGTGCCAGAACTGCTCTAGTTGCCTTTAATATCTCTCTGTGTGTCTAGTTATATGTTGGACACCTTGGAAATCCTCCTTTACGTTGCATTTTTTGTTTTATCCCTGTGGGTAAAAATAGCTCTGGGGTTTCATCCACTGTAGATGACCTAGAATTTTTTCTGCATTTTTCTCAGCCCTTTTCTTCTCCCTGTACATGAGAGCTGGTAACTGGAGAGACAGATTGCTCTATCAAACTGCGCTAATATCTGATGGCCACTGGATGATGACTTAAGAGTATCTTCAATCCTCATCAGTTTATGCCCCAGGCTTTTACCACATCATTGAGCTCTGCCACTTGTTAAGCCTTCAGATTGACCAAACTTTATTTTGGTTCTTGTCACTTGGCTTGCCTTTTGATTTGAGTTTTGGTTGTTGTTTTTTTTCTTGTTTGTTTGTTTGTTTTTTCCCTCTACTTTGGTATTTGATTGCTTCTTTTACATCCTACCTTCTTTACTAAAGGCTTACTGACTTTACTTCACCTTTTAAATGAAACTCCTTCTTCTAAACCCTGTCTCTGAAAACATTAAGATGTTCTAACACTTTTTGGCAATTCTAACCAGCTTTCTCTGCTATCTTTGCTTCTTTACCTCTGTTTCTCCTTCACACTGCAGAAGATACTAACCTGATAGCAGGCTTTGATGCTCCTGAGGGCTCTGAAAAAGTGACAGAAGATGAGTTTGACCCAATTCCAGTGTTGATATCCAAAAATTCACAAGGTAAGCCAGGCTTTGGGTGTGGAAAAGGGAAGGAGAAAAACAATGAACATATATTAGTTCCGGGATAGTGGTACTACAGTACATGTGAAGTAATGCAAATCGTAAATTGTAAGATATTATCATTGTAGTGTTTAGTGAGCTCAGACTTTCTCTGATTTATATTGGCCCTGCAGTGTCTCTAGATTTTCTGTTTATGAGAAGGTTGCATGCCCAAAGAGATAGAATTAAACGTGCAAGCATCTTTAAGTTCCATGAAGTAATTTCTACCAGTCTGCCAGGCAGGGTACACTAATAGTTCTATGCCTAAAGTACAGTAGCAAATTCTTATTCTCTGAGGTTCTTATTTACTGTTTAAACCAGTGGAAGGAGGTCCTTTGACTTTTAAGTGAACTTGGCATGAGGTACAAGAAAGGAAGGTGATAATAATCATTTATAACTCTGAGACTCTTGCCAAAAGCGAGTCTTTTTATTTCTGACTAATGATTTTCAAAGGTTCTTGTTGGAACTGTGTGAGAAGCCTGGTAGGTGGTACCCACCTCCTTCGAAGAGCTTTTGAGTGTTCTTCACCTTTAGGACACAGACTGGAAAGTTTCTCCTTTTACAGTATTCCTGTCACCTGCATCACATTAATGTCATCTTTGCAAACAATTTTTGCCTTATGCAAGGTTGAGTCTAAGGAGCAGTACTGTTTCCCTAAAACAAATGATACTGCTGAATTTTGTAGCTCTTGTAGACAGGATTTTTCAGTATGGCCAATCAAAGGTGCAGTCAAGTCTCTGTGCAGTCAAGCCATCAAAAGGCTTTGTTTACAACTTTTGGTATGCTAGCATAGGCTTAAAATGCATTACAGAGCTCCCTTTATCTGGTTTTGGTTTTTAGCTTGGTAGAACTTTTTTGACTTCCCTAACTACCATTTTCATTTACAGCATGAGTATACTGTACACCTGCTCTGCATCTAATGCTAGCTTCCAAAGACTGGTGCTTTTCAGAAAAAGTTCTGTGATGCTAAACTCTGCTCCTGCATATAGAGGAGATTTCTACCAAAGTTGGGCCAAGATAGGCTACTTTGAATAAAGAACAGAATCTCTCTCTTGAGAAAGCTCAACTCTCCCTACAGTGGATGGAAACTCAAAGATGCTTTTAAAACAGCAACTAATTTTTAACATGTTAAACATTGAACAGTCCGTTCCATTGGTTGTGGGAGTACTTAAAATTGTTTTATAGTCCTTTAGTAATGACTGAACTCTGCAGCTTGGATGTAGAGATTTCTGTTGGCACAGAAGCTGCTGCGATATTTTTCCATGCAAGTCTAGCAAGCTGGGTTTGGAGGGGAGGGAGAGGGTGGAAGAGTGAGCAAAGGAAATGTTGCTATCATGATGCAAGTAATGAGAAGAGCTTGAGCGGGTTTTCTGTTTTGCTTTGACTTTTTTTCTTGCTTGCTCTTGAACATCTGAAACTGTCGTGTGTGTGTGTGTCCTGTTCAATACTGAATTCCTATCTCTCACACTTTCAGGTGGGCATTCTAGAAACAACAGTGGAAGCTCTGAGTCCAGTCTTCCCAACATAGCCAGGTCTTTACTGCTGGTGGATCAGCTCATAGACCTGTAGCAGTGACACAGTAGCAGACGCAGTTTCTGTAACGTACCTAATCCTCCGTTTTCATTTCCAGAGGAGTTACCTTCAGTTGTGGTTCTTTTGGTTTTTGTTCTTTTCCTTAATTAAAAGAAAAACAAATCTGCCAACAAGAGACAGTCACCCATATTTCTCCCTGTCTTCCCATGCCCCACAAAAGATGGTCTCAGTTCTCCAGGTAGTCCTCTCTAAAGCTGGTGAAAACCTGCTGTGGTTCCTTCTGCACCTGTTTCTGCTAGCCCATGTCTAAAAGAGAGCACTGTCATTAGCCACCCTGCTGAGATGTACACATAGCATCATGGAAAGCCTAACTATAAATGATTTAGATAATCGTAGCTGATGTACGATCCCTGCATACAACAGACTCCTTTCTCCATATAGTAGTGTGTAAACAACTGTTTCAATCTTTTGAGTTTGTGTTTCTGAGTTTGTTTTTTGTTGTTTTTTTTCCTAATTTTCTGATGAATGGGCAGGAGGAAGGGGACGGGTGAAATTGGTAGGGACGTCCCTCTCCTGCGGAATACAGGTTAGGAGAGCTGATGTTTCTAAAATGCCAGTATATGCTTCAGAGGAGGAAAAAGCACTGAATTCTCCTGAAGTAGTCATGCCTAGTACCTCTGGTGATGGTGCATATGAAGAGAGTTTTCTGGACTGCCCCCAGCTAATTGTTCGTTGTTTAACAATCCTGCTTATGAATGAACTGTGCTTCCGTGGGATGGGGGTGGGGGGGAGCTCAAAAAAAAAAAAAAAGCCACCAGATTGTTAATGCTGCAAAAATCACCCTAAGTTAAATATAACAAGATTTTGAACCAAATATGTGTGAGTATGGCTGTGATTAGCTTTTTGTTGACCTTTTTTAGGCTGAAAAGGGCATTGTGGCAACAGCAGATGTATTTTCTGTGACTATTTCTGTGTTTGACTGGCAAAAAAAAATCCCCCCCAACCTACTGTAAATTGTGTACGAAACAAATTGTCCTACAGTTGTTTGTCTACTTCAATCCTGGTTTTAGTCAAGCATCTGGTATCTGTTCTGGGTTCCCTGTTTTCTCTTGTAACTGCATATAGTGCAAACCAGTTAAGTATGGAACCTTTTTCTTTCAGTAGACAAAGATTACTGTGGACTTTATTCCACTCTTCAGTCTTTGTGAATCAAGCATGCACTTGGTTCAGGTGGTTTGAAATAAGTGCTGCTACAATTTGATGGGTTTTACATTTTCTTTTTCCCTTTACATGCTTAGTTTGTCAGCTAGCTGGATACGCTAAACTTGTTTTCATTGGTTTATGGTCATGAAGTCCGGAATTTCTATCTTGTATTTGAAAGCTCTTTCTGAACAGAAGGACTCTTCCTCTGTAGTGGAATAATTAATAGCTTACACTGCTAACCTTGTGTATGTGTATGTAGCTGTATTAGTAAAAGTGCAGTTTCCCATGTGCGGAAGTATGAACGACTGAAATATGTATGTACTGACCTCTCGCTAAGACGGAAAGAAATCAAAGTTCATGACTACTCCTTTCCTAGCTCCAGTCTCTCCACTATTCCCTCACCCCAATGCTTAGGTTAACAAATTCTGTAAATAGAATTGCCATCAATTGTGTCTGCTCTACATTACTCTTCTTTTAAAACCTACACTTAATAATAAAAGTATTGCTTAAGTGTGTTGTATCATTACATGTGTATACTGCACTTTCCAAGAGAAGCTTTACATGAGAACTATGGAAATGACCTTAGTAAAATTGTGGATAGAACTTTATTATTTTTTTGTTTTATATTCCTAAAGCACAGGCAAGCTGGACTGGAAACATGAAGACGCTATAGATAGAAAGTTATTGTATAGTCAGATACTGAGAATATATGAAAAGAGAATGGATTTTAAAAAGAAACCATCTACTGTATATTAGAAACAAAGATTTCTGTGAATTAAAGTACTTTTAAAGAATGTTTAAGATTTTAAATGGCACTTGTTCAAGGGTTCTGGAAAAATTATAAATGCACTGGGTTGTTAATAATGCTATTAAATAAGCAGATGTGAATGTTCATTTTATTGCTTTTTCAAGTAGCCATTCATGGATCTGGGTGGGAAACACAATACAATGAAAGCATACATTTTTAGAGATGTCTGTTACCTAGATGTACTTCATCAGAGAAGACACTCCGCTTATGTGTTAAGTGAATGAAAAATGCAAAGAATGTGAATTGGGTGGATATGTGTGATTAATTTGAAGCTCCACAAAAAATGTGATTGTCCTAGAGGCAGTAGGTTAGTATTTGTGTGCTGCTCAAAAGTTGAGGAGTTTGTGTGAAAGCTGCTACCGTGAAGGAACAAATTGAACTTTCATCCAGTATCCACATGGAAGAAGTTTGGTACCCAGCATTCCTGAAATTGTGTCAGGATGGTTCTCATATAGCTATGGCTGCAACCTCATTTGAAGCCATGAGAGGTGTTTCCTGTCTCCTTTGGAGGGTCAGATGTTGTTAAGTAACATAATATATACATGCAGACAGCAAACTTGCAGCAGAATGATTTTCTTCCCTGCCTGGTATGTGCTGTTTATATATGCTAGGATGACAGAGGAGCCCTTTTGCCCTAGTAGGCATGAGCTTGTATTGTTTTGGGTATTGATTATTTTGATGTATCCTGGTACTTCAGATGTAACCACAGTACACAAAGCAACTTCGTTTCAACTCAAGGCTGTGCTTTGGGTGCAAGAATAAATTCTGCTTTTGGGGTGATGAGATGTTAAAAGCAATAGCTGGAACTTAGATGTCAGTTCTTGCTGACTCTGAGTGGTCTTGGGTCTCAAACTGCTCCTGCCTTTCAAACTCTTCCCCAGTTATTTAACTGGATTAGGACAAGTGTGTCACCCACAATTCAGAGATCAGCAAATTCATGTCATGCCTGATGATCCACTGTCAGGTGCAGCCGTCCCATAGCCAGGTGGCTATGGCTTCCTGAATTCTGCCTGTCCAAGTGTTCACTGGGTTCCTTGGAACTTGGACAAGTACGAGGTTACTGAAGGATTGGCAAGTGCTGTGGGAGCTGTGCGACCTGAAAACTTGGGTGTGCTGGCAAAGGCTGAGAGATGTGTGGAAAAGCTGTGGCATGGGTGGCTTTTTGTGGCAGATCTGCATCTAAAAATTGTTCTCAGAGGAAGACTTCTCTTAAGAGCATGGTGATGTCTATATTCCTATTTGGAAGATCTCAAGAGGTCCTGTCCCCAGTGTATTCTTCAGTCTGAAACCTCACAGGGTATTGCCTCATGTGACTTTCCAAAACCACCTTATTTGAAAAGTGGTTTCTGTTTTGTTTTGTTTTCTTTAAAATCATGTTATTAAAATGGAAGCTAAATGCAATTCAGGCCAAAGACAGTTGAGCAAGTTTCAGGGGCAAATGCAAGAAGTGGAGCATATAGGCCTCGGACCACAGAAAATGTCATCAAGCTGCATGCTGCACGAGTGTTTGAAGTGTGAACATGCATGTGCACGTGTGTGTATAAAATAAGTTATCTTCTTGTTGGCCAATCCAGTTTGCAGTTCAAGAACTTGTATAGGTACCAGTCAGAGCTGGTAGGACCTGGCACAGATGTGGGGGAAGAGTGAATGTACCATGGGGGAGTGCTCCAATGCATGAGGCTCATCAGTCCACTCAGCTACCAGTAGTCGGGTGAGAATTTCCCCCGTGACTTCTTTGAGGTGTGGGCACTGCACATTAACTACAGCAGGTAATATGGACTTGGGAGGTCGGGGCAGGTGGGGAGGGAGCGGTGGGGTGATTTTAGCAGTGTAGTAGACTTCTGTACCCAAGGGAAGCTCTGCTCTGGAGAGAGCTGTGCCTATGCACAGGAATGCAAACTCCATGCACGGCACCAAACCTCCTCGTTGCTCCTTGGGTGGGCTGCTTTGCTGGGTGGGTGTAAGGACATCAGTGATCTGCAAGGCTTGCGCCCTCCACAGGGGGGAGTTTAACCTCTAGAAACTCACCTGCATCTTAAAAATGACTTGAATATGTAATACTTGGCTTGTACAAATGAGGGTGAAAACCCCAAAGATGATGTTAGTCTCCAGTTGGTTGGTCTAGTTCATGACCTGATGGAATAGCGTGTGCAGTTTGTGCCTTCAACACCTGCTCTATCTCATTTTTGCATGGTGCAAACGACTGTGCAAGTGTGCCAAAACTAGATCATTAAATTCCTCATCTTCTGGAAATGAAGCACCCTGAAGATGGTTCCACTGTGCTGTGCAGTGACTTGGGGCAAAACCATTTTGCTGCCTGAATCGGCCAGCGACATGGGAAGGGTGATGCCGACCTTCAGTGTCCTGCTTTGATGTCTGCTAACTTGGAAGCCCTGTGTGGGGTGGCCCTGTGGTGACTGCTCTGCCTCTTTGCAGGCCCTTTAAAAGGGAGAGTAATTCCCATCAGTTATTTCAGTACCTTGCCATGTCTGTGTACTGTTTTCTGTGAAAGACAGGAACCGTGTGTGTCAGTGCTGTATCTCAAGGGTAAACAGTGTCTTCAGGTTGTTAACTGCTTGTAAAATTACAACCCATTTTTTGTGGTGTTTTGCAAGCAGTGGTAATCTGGAAGCCGGAGCTGCTCTGTGGCCCCCACCTCAGAAGGCAGGGTGTGTTCCTGGTGTACTGAGCCAGAGGTACTTTTCTTATTTGAATTCTCCTGTAGTAACAAAAACTTCCTTAGAAAGGGAGCCTGAGTATAATTGAGTATTTTATTTATTTATTCATTCATTTAGATAATTGCTTTGTATCTGACCCTGGAATAAAAGCAATTACATACAAATGTTCAGGGGTAGAAACAAATGTCATTGGTGAGCACAAGCTTCTGTAAAGACTTCATGGAGTAAAGTATGTGCTATAAAACTGAAGCCTTAATTGATGAAATAAGGGCTGCTTCCCAGTGAAATACCTTGCAGATCCCAGGAGTCCTGGGGAGGAGGGGACAAAAGATGTGGCTGCTGTCCGGCGTGACGCAGGAGGCCGTCAGCAATCGCTGCCTCTGCAGGAGCGGCATCCCTTTAGCACGAGGGGTTGTGGGTGCTGTGTGGGTTGGCTCCAGCAGCCATCTGCCTGTATCTTTCCAGGCCTCTTGCGTAGCATGCCTCTGGTGCGAACAGGAGCCCAGCTGGCTCAGAGAAGGGCCAGAGCTTCAAACAGAAAAGCACTTAATGAAATTTACGAATTTGCCCTTTACAGTCGCACTGTTAACACCTCGTGGGGCAGCCATTTCTCTCCTTCGCTGTAACACTAAACAAAACTGCTAAACCTTTTAATGTGGAGCAGCCCCTCAAGTGCTTCATTCTCGATCATCTGTGATTGCAGACCTGCACACCCATCCATTGGTGCTGGCCAACATAAATTCTGTCATCCTAAAGGCTGCGAACCTCCAAGAGTTCAGCTGTGCAGGTTGTAGCTATGGCTGCTTATGGGAATCCCCCAACTTTTTCTTGTTTAAATGTCGGGTTAGCACTAACAAAGGGGTTTATGTTTTGTTTTGTTTTGTCTGATGGGACATTTTTGTGCCCGAGCATAGCTCAGGCCTTTTAACATACAAGATTATTGACTGCAAGAGGTCTAAGCCATGGTCTGGTCAGTCACACACCCAGCTGCAGTAAAATGCTCCATGATGTTATCTTCTCTCTAGTGATGCTGCCGTAGCTCCTCCTGAGACTATAACTTTGCCTTTTGCTTCTCTTGGTGAAGCAAAATGAAGGAAAGCAAGAACGGGGACATGGGGGGAAGCTGCCTGAGATGAGTTACCCCAAGGTGGTGTCTGGAAACCAGGTCTGCCTTCTTCAGTGTCAGAAAAATACAATGTCAGGGTGTAGATGGTGCTCCTCTCCATCAGTAAGTTGCAAAGCTTCTCTGGTAACCTACTAGATTTTGACATTGCTGTACCAATTTTCATTGGTTTTAAATTACCATGTACCCTAGTCTCTTTGCTGTGTTGTCTAGCAACTTCAAGTGAAACCAGCTCCTAATTGAAGGCCAGAACGAGTTACTACTTAAACATCACTTCATTTTTTCCCTTGAGTAATTTGTAACTCCTGTACTGGCGTTAGCAAAGGAGAAAACTGCTTCAAAAAAAAAACAACAAAACTCTCTCCACCAACTAGGGCTTATATCCTGTCAACCTTTCTCTTAACTCTGTCCCAAATGTCATCACTTGCATGAACATAGACACAACTCAGGCATGTAAGTCTTTAAAAAGAAAATTCTTGTTTGTGCTCTTCTTGTGAAAACTGGGTTGGTTTTCATTGGCATAATACTTGCTATGGTAAATACGTTTTTGCTTTTCCTGTTTTCCTCTATGCTCTGTCTCAATGAGGACTGGGTAATTCAGAGGTGTTTGCGCAGTGTGGCAACTGGTCTTGGTTTGCTTCCACCTGTATTCTTGAAATCTCACCATAATACCTGGTAAAATACATAACCAGCCTCCTGGAAGAAAACACAACCGTGCACACATCATTCCTGTAATCTAACAGATTAGTATCTAAGGTGAAATCATTGCTGACAACATGGGTTTCAGGAAAGATAGATAGTATTTTTGTAGTGCAACATAAAATGTTCACATATCTACACTGTCTTTATTTAGCAGTGTAATGTATCGCAGTGAATAGTTTCCCAATAAATAACAATTTTGATGCCTAATGAATGAGTACTGTGTCTTTAATTAAGAAATGGCTGAGAATGGGTTAACTTGCATACATCTACAGACTGTCAAGAAGTGCCTTGCAGCCTATGATGGCTGTGTAAGTTCAAACCATTAATCTGGGCAGAGTTTGGACATGGTAAAGTTATTTTGTCACCACAGGGGTGGTTGGGTAGTACCTTGCTTTTCCATCGGTCGGTGGACACCAAACCACCTTCCCCCCCCACCCCGCCCCACCTGTTCTTCCTGCAATTCCTGCTGCTTAGTTCTCATATGCCTTTTTCCTATCCTTTTGCTAACATGAGTCCAATGACATACTCCTAACCTGCCAATAGTTCTTTGAAGGTAAGATATCTTCTGTTCTGTCTGTTGTGAGTCATAAGGCAAAACTAACCCAATCTTGGGCTCCTGTAACTGGAGAAGAGCAGTTCTGCAAGCCTCTCCCTGCATTGCCCTGTTAAACCAATGCAGAACCAAGGCAGATTGCTATAGTTATGTTAGACATTTCATTTGAAATCATGGTATGGATTGTTTAAAATCACTTGTCTTGCAGTAGTTTAAAATAATGCTGCTATAGTTACCAGAATTCATTAAAAGCTACAGGCTGACATTTAGCAGATTGTAAGGCATCCCTGCGTATTTTACATGCCTGAGTGTGATTCCATGTATCTGTGGGATGGCTCACAGAAAGAGAGGCTATGCCAAGCCATACATCTGTTTATAGGGCACTCCTAAGGCGATAAGCAACAGTGCTGAATAAAATGACAAGAACAGTTTACTGAAGCTTCACCCAGGCAGCAGGGCTACAAAGTGCAAACCTCTCTGATGGTCATGGTTGTGGGTGGCACAGAAACCTCTGTGAGTGGTGCTGAGTGTGCCCATTTGTCTGTCAAACATCATCCATCTCCTGAAAACTTGTACTTGTGGTGTCCCTGAGTCGTGAGACAGTGCTGAGTTGTGTCAGCTTGTGTGCGGTAAATACCCTCCCTGGCATTTTTACTTTCTTTTATTTACCCTCCTTCTCCGTTTCATTTTCCATGTGTGGTGGTGGTTTAAATCTGAACTTCATGACATGTCTTGTGTAATAAGAACTTACACTCATTCTTATGACTAAAGAGATATAGCTTGTTGAGTAACACTCTTCTTTTGCATTTTTAGGTCTGCAGAGGGATCCAGCCCTATTTCCAGTTGTAGCTCTTGATCTCTGTAAAGGACCTTCTGGCAGTGATGGACTTGCTTTGTACAAAGGTCAGTCTGAGATGCTAGAGGTGAAAACCCAGCATAACTCAGAGGCAGACTACTTAGCAAGAGATGGTCCTTCAAGCAACAGCTCCTTCTACAGCAGTGAAGGAGAGGGGACAGACCATGAAGGAGATATTTTGGATTGTAGTGGATCCAGGCCTTTACTGATGGATTCAGAAGAGGAGGAGGAAACCTGCAAGCTGGGCCCAGGGTTCCTGCAAGCTGGACACAGGGAAAGACGGGAGGCTTCCAAAGATGCCCACTCCCAATCTTCCCAGGCCAGAGCAGGGGAGATGCCATTCCCTGCCTTCCAGTCGCACTCTGGGGAAGTTTTTAATGAACCAGATGTTTTTGCCACGGCTCCTTTCCGAAGCTCGAGAAAAGTGCCTGATGAGGTGGATGTCTTTACCAAAGCTCCTTTCATTTCCAAGAGCAATATGGCTCACAGACATCCAGAAGAAGCAGATGTGTTTCTGAGAGCCCCTTTCACAAAAAAGAAAAGCATGGAAGAGTTGACTTCTCATAGCATGCCTAAGGAACCATTCACACCTCCTGTTTTCCTAAGTCAAGCAGGCGATGTCCAACACAGAGCCAGCCCTATGTTCCAAGGCCTGGATACAGCATTTCATGGGTCCACGGCCTCGGCAAGACCTCAGTATCCCTCTGCAGGCTTTACTCAGCCAACCAATCTTCCTCCTTCTGTAAGAGCGGTGGAGGCCCAGGAGAACATCCCTTCTAAAGGTGTGCAACCCGACCACAGCGGCGTGCCCAGTGAGAGGAACCAAGGACAAGTGCTCCCACAGGAAGCCATCCTGGGCTCCATGGTTAACAAGCCTTTCCGTCCACAATCCTTGTCAAAGTACTCCCGTCACTACAGTCCAGAAGATGGGCAAGGTCTTGAAGTCAAGCCCATAGCTGCTTACAAAGTGGTTTCTCAGACCAACAGACAGGCAATAGCAGGATCTGTATCTGTTGCCCCCCTGTCTTCCAGGACTACGGAACTGCCTGACGGGGATCCTTTTGCTTCAGCACCCTTTCCTTCCAAAGCAGGAAAGCAAAAGCCTTAATCTGCTGTGAGCTGGGAGGTGTGCTTCCTGTAGAACACCTCTCATGGGACCTTGAACCTCTTAGTTGAATTGAATGACATAGCAATATATATGTATTATTATTATTTGGTCAGAACTCTATTTGCAGTGATACATAGTTGAACCATTTTAAGTTATGTTAGCTAAACTGAATGCCTGGCTCTCAGGATCTTCATATCCTTTTCAATTGCTTCTTACCTTCCTCCACTCACTGCCTTCCATGCCACCCCCAGGTATTTTTAGATGCTTTTCCAAAACTGTAATATTCCATACTTTCTGGCTGGGAAAAGACGTTATAAGATGAATTAGAAGGCTTATTAATTACAGAGCAAGTCAAGCGGGACTGGCTCATGCTCTGGCAAAGAAGTGATTTCGCATGTTGAAGGGTTATTGGGACTCTGTTCCCAGCAGTGGGGGCTTCTGGAGGACAGCAAGGTGACACATTCTGCTGCTGGTAGCACTGGCAAGCTTGGCAGCTGAGGCTCCAGGGTCATTCGCTCATGTACAGTGCATGTTTGTAGGTTTTTATGCACAACAGGCAATGTCTAGCACCAGGTCTATGCAGTGCAGAGGTGAGCAGAACAGTGGCAGCGTGCGTGCAGCACCCCTTAGCTCACTGCCATGTGCAAAGCACAGTGTGTCAGCGCCCAGAGCAGTCGGGAGGAGGACTCAGTGCCTTCCACTGCTCGTCTTTCAAATGCTCGAGAACTGAAACTTCAGCGTAGCAATCTGTCAGGCTGATACCATTGCTGTTACTAGGAAAATCAAAATATCAAGCAAAACTTTGACATGCATGTATCTTGTCTGGTTTATGCCAAAGCGTAGAACCCAGAAATTTGCTTTTGTTGTTGTGAAGGAGAGAGTAATGTAATGTGCATTAACACAGTATTAAAAATAAGCCTGATGGAAAAGTTTATTATGGAAATAACCTGACAGATGTCCTGATCTGCATACCTCATTTGGTGTAATTCTGCAGTGGGTGCAATCCGGTTAGACTGATATATGCTAGCAGAGAACTTGACTCTAGATTCATCAGTTCTGCTTTTTGTTTTCTTATCAATCAAGATGAATCCAAACAAAATCTACTCACTCTTCTCTGGTAACATTTGCTCTACTTCAGAAGTCTTGTGCTTCCTACCGTATTCCTAAAGAGAAAGACATCTCCCTGTTTGTTCTGCCATTGATGTAGTGAATCCCAATATGGTGTTTGGTGGGAAGATAGTCCAAAAGGTTTACTCCAGCTGTTTGTCACCTGCTGGCCACTAGGCAGAAATAAAGTAGACTTTGCTTCCCTCTCTTCACAATAATACAAGGCAGAGATAAGAGCGAAACCTCCTGCCTTGGTCTTTGCAAAGTGCCTGTTGCATTGCTTGTCTTGGTCCTGCTATTTCTGGCCAGCAGCAGCTATGTATCTGTAAGTGTTGTCTGGTTTCAAAACATGTGGGTGTGGGGGCTCTTTAGGCTCGCAGTCACTCATGCCTCTGTAGTGCAGTGGTCCTACATCCTAACAGGTGCTGATGTTGCAGAATGTCTCCCAAGAACAATCTCCAGTTGTTTTGTTTGCAAGGGCTTCCTCATTGACTCCAGGAGTTTCTGCCAAGCCCCTCAAAAGCCTTGCAGTGACCATTTCCCAAGTGAATTTGATCCTTATCCTGTAAGCTGGAGCCTTGCACAAAGGCTAAACGACAGATGGCCTTTGGGGCTCTCTCACAAGTGCCTTTGAGCTTTTGTGGGGGAGTTGTTGGAGCTGGCTGCTGAGGTAGTTTGCCGTGGTCAGGACCTGCTGCGAGTGGAGCAGGTTTCTGTCATGCCCTCTTCCCGATGTGCTTGTACTCAGAGAGAAGATTCAGGACTACTGTCCCACTAGGGGAGGGAAGGGATGATGTAACTCCTTGTAATGTGCTGGAGTCACACCAGCGAAAGCTGCTGCAGCCAAATTCAATTTTGGGGGGGGAAAAAAAAAAAAAAGACACTGCCTCCATCCATAGTGTTGGCTGATGTCCAGATAATAAACATTAAAGTAACTCAGCGAGCTTGTTACAGATGCATGTGAAGACTGCTCAAACAAAGCAGAGCACGTGAACAGGAACACAGTTCAGGTCTCTGGTGAATTTTCAGCCCTGCAGTAAGGAGAGGGTGGATGGAAAAGTCTGGAGCACCAGGAGATGACAAACAAAGCATGTGCAGATAGGAGTTACCGACTGCTCTGCATTCCGCATCCCCTCCCTAGTCTCAGTTCCCTTCCAAAACCTAAAGTTGTAAACCAAATGTTGCTGCAGGGAGCATTCAGCATTGGGTTTACCTGGAAGACAGAGAGAAAAAAAAAAAAGTGGGACTGAGGTGTTGAAAGCCCTGGGGAGGGGACGGACAGCTCTTGGGGGCATGGAGGCTGTGTGCAGCTGGATCTCCTGCCTTGTTCTGCTGCATAGCACCGGTGTGCTGCTGCAGGTGTGTTCTTCCTGTGCTCCTCACTGCCTCTGGGAGATAAAGTGCTGCAAAGAAATTTCTGGGTTTCCCTTAAGACCTTTAGTGAAGCTGAAATTGTACTTTTTTGCATTTTGTTGTCATTGAGTTTTCTGTTCAAATACATACCTGAGAGTGATTGACCATGCAGGTTGTTGCTGGATTGGATCAGTGAGAGATGCCAAGGAGGACCGTGATATCAAACTGTGAAATGCAGGGGATACCAAGGAGGCTAAGCATGAGGATGTAGATTTGTTTCAGCACACGGCTGTGCCGTGGCGATGCACATGGCCAGCAGGCTGAATTTGGCCTTAAGCTGTTAAATTCATTCGGGAAGCCAACAGAAGGAAGGTCAGGGCTTGGCAGTGTAGGGATGGATCTGTGCACGCAGGATATGCTTTGCTGGAATAAGCAGGTACCACATATAAATAAGATGTGGGCTCAAGGTATTACCTCTGTTAACTGGATTCATGTTCTCCTTCCTTTCTTTCTTTTTTTTTTTTACTTGAAAAGTTGCTTTTGGATAATTCTGTGAAACTTCTTACGATACCACATCCAGGTGTCGCTTAACAAAAGAAAAAAAAAAACTGGTGTGCTCACATCAGTGAGGCGGAGGTGAGCCCTGTATCGTTCAGACCTCTCTGTCCTGCGCTGCTGGCCATGGGAGGATGGGGAGCGTGCAGAGGTGCAGCTGGGTGCGAGGGCTCACCGGCAGCATGGGCTCAGGTTGGGTCAGGCTGAATTTCCAGTTAGCATTTTGGCAGCTTCTGTTCCTCAAGCACTTTATACAGAGTAAGCTAACCACGCCCCAGAAACTAATGATCCTGCCGGCATGCATCTAGTGCTTAAATGGTTTAAAAATATGTTGGGGCGATGGGGGGAGAGCTTGTTTGAATCTATGTGTGTGACCTATGAAGGAATAGGACTTCTGGTTGCAGTCAGAAAATTGAATTTCAATACCAGTTAGTCTGATACCATTCTAGTTTCCAGCCTGTATTCCTCCTAATCCTGCATGGCCAGTACTGCAGCTTCAGCGTGATGTATTGTAAGTGGAAATTTCATTTCCTTATTTTGTGAAGCTGCAGTTTCTAATGATCATGGAGTAATAGTGCTTGTAGCTTTCTTTGTCACCTAGCTGGTGATGTTAATGAGGTAAGACTGGTATGGCCTCAATGCAACATTTTAAAGTCAATTTTCTGAACAGAACCACTGGTTTCACGTTTTTTAAAGCTGTAGTAAATTCTGCCAGCTGCCCTGGGTCTCCTGGGAGACCTCATGGCCAGAAGGATGCAGTTACCACTTCAGTCCTGTGACAATCTTCGACGTGGTTCATATCCATTGCCAACTTAACTTGAATGCACTTAGAAACATAGCGCTTCAAAGCAAGTAAGCAGAGTTTCTGCATGAAAAAAAAGGGGGGGGGGGAGAAAAGAAAAGGCAACAGGGTTTGCTCTCTGTGCCTCTTTGCTGCAACATTTGCACAAGTGCACATACCGGGACCAGCCACCCCAGGGTTCGCCTGCTGCAGTATTTTTGGGCCTTTTCCCCATCTCTCATCTCGGCACTAGTTGTGTGTGGTGTTCAGTTTACAATCTTAGTCTCTTGAAGCCAGCGCACACTCAATCTGTACTGCACGGTATGCATGCAGCACAGCACGTCAGTGATGTTAAGCTCGTGACAGCAAACCCGCATGAGCAATCATGATGCGCGCTGCCTGGAGCGCATCTTCAGAGTGACTTAATCAGGCAAGACAGAGCGCGATCTGTTTAATTGCTGAACTCTCAATCACTCCAAAGTGGTAATCGGTTACTTTAACTCAGCTTCCACCAAAGACTCTTGTGTTGGGGAGTTGATTTTTTTTTTTTTCCTCACGGTGTTAATTTAAGGCCTTTCAGTACACCAAAAGACTCCAAAGCATTTTTAGAGCAGGTATCGTGACAGTGAAATCTTGTTCCAGTCCTGAAATGCATTCCTGAAACCCGATCAGCTGTGTTTGAGTTTCTAAAAATAAGCCCCAGCCTGTAGTTTCCATTGTGCATAGGGTGAAGGTTGTCACACATGGCTAGAAAAGTCCCACTGAGAAGTGGGAAGGATGGTTGTGATCCGGCAATGTGCTGGTCCCCCATCCTGACCACACTCTCTCCTGCAGCAAGGGAGAGTGAGCTGCTTGCGAGCACAGGGAGGGCAGGGGGCTTTCTGTGTCCGTGTGGTCGGTGCTGGGAGCTTGATGCAGGAAAGCATCAGGGGTTGCAACTGGTTGAGCATCTCCGCACACCACATCCAGCAGTGAAAGCAACTCCTATTGTCAGTGGAGGAGCGTTGTCTCCACGTGGAGCAGGAAGCTGGAGCTGCAGGTGTTTGTGGCCTCTGCTGACTGTGACGAGCAATCTCTGTGACTTATGTTGCAAGAGAAGTGTTCCGCTTGAACCACGTTGTTATTAAAGTGATTCGTAGCGGTCTTGGAAATACCTCTGACTTGCAGATTGGTGGAGTCAAGTGTTGCACTCCAGGTGTGATCGTCTGTGTTTCCGGTAATCATTATGAAGAAATATTCAAGTTGTAAACTTTATGTACATTCTATTAAAACTGTACCTGATTACAATACCTTGTCTCTCCTGTGCCTTCTTCTCCTCCTTCCAGGCAAAATATTTTTGCTAGATACGAAGACGCATTTTTAATGAGTTCTTCCTGCTAAGGTACTGAACTCTGTCCTGGCTCTACTATTTTATCCAGCAGTTGCAAAGTCAAACTGATCTTTTAAACTGAGGATATTCCAGCTTAATGGGGGCCTACATGGCCAGGGCAACACTGTAGTGGCACAGAGCTGTTGAGCCCCCTGCAGATACAGGAGCTGCTGCAAGGGAGGATGCGCAACAAACCCGTGCCCGAAGAGGACACGCTGCACAAGAGTGGAGGGGTCGGTGAGCCGTGGCTGACGTGCTGCACGGGTCGTTCCGAGCGATTCGCGTGTGCTGTGGGAGGCGTGAGGGGGCTGGAAATGGGTTTTGGCAAAGCACAGGGAAAGCGTGCTTGCTGTGAGCTCTGCAGCGTGCCAAGGTACAGTGAATCCAGCCAATGCAGCAAGGAATCGCTGAAAGGAAGAGCTGTAAGTTTGTTCAAGGAACGTTGGTGGGACTTTAGGTTGTATTAGTTAATTGTAATGGAATAAGCAGGCATAGCTGGCCTAATGTAAGTGGCTTTCTGGTCCAAAACTGGCAGGAATATAATTGCACTAAGAGGGGGAAAAGCAGCCACACAAACTGGCGTCTCTGTCTTTCTGAAAGTGCAAAAGTCTCCTTCCTCCCAAGGGAAACTTTTTCCTCTCCTTCCTTATGCAACAGCCCTGGGGTCCACAGCGGCTGCAATCTGCAAAATCAAGAGCTTCCCACCCCAAAAATCACGCAATCAAAACAAGTGCACGACCTCTAACTTCCGCAGGCCCCATCTCCGGAAGGGCATTCAGAAGTGGGCTGGATTCATCGTTTCTTGTAACGTGGAAAAAATAAAACAAAATAAAACAAAACAAAACAAAACAAAACAAAACAAGGCTTTCTGTGTGTTATGGGCTTCCTCCCCAGGGGCTGGCAGTGAGGCCTGGCCCGCTCCGTGCTCCCAAAAACCGCTCATCAGAACCGACGCTGCTCCTGCCAGGTGGGTGCCAGGAGCTTGGGCACGGACAGCGGGACCTCGTCACCCTGCTGGCAGGAACAGCCCGAAAGTGTAAAAGGTGGTGGTGGGGGCGAAAATCTATATATATGTGTGTATATATACACATATTTTTAGCAAAAACGCTGCCGCGAGGGCGGTGCGCTCTGCAGGGCCGCAGGCGGGGGGAGCAGCGGCCTCGCTGCCGCCAGGGGTCGCGGCAGCGCCTGGGGCGGGGCCGAGGAGCGCCAAGATGGCGGCCGCGCGGTGGCTCGGCGCGGCTGCGGGGCTGGGCGGCCGGTAGGTGACTGCGGAGCCCCTGGGCTCCGCGCTGCCCTGGCCCCGAGGAGGGAGCCCGGCGCTTCCCGGGGGTTTGCTTTCCCGTCTCTTCCCCGCCCTGTGGCAGCGGGCGGTACCGCGACCTCCCGGGCCGCGCCGGGCTCGCCTCGGCCTTCCCCTTCCCTTCCCCGCCGCAGCAGGGCGGCCGCGGGTGAAGTTATTTCTTCCCCTTCCTCCCCGTCGTTACAGAGAGGCGGCGAAAGGCTGCTTCTTCCCCTCAGCTCCGTTACAGCGGCCGGGAGTTAATTTCTGCCCAGCGCGGGTGTGCCGAGGGCCTCTCCCTGAGGGGCTGCTCAACCCCTGCGCCCGCACCTCGGAGTAACGGGGGTGATCGCCTAAAGCGTGCACCGAGGGGTGTTTGCCCCCAGATTCCGCTCAGGAGTGGAAAGAATTTGTTAAGAGACTCTCAGGAGTGTTACCGAGACCACAAAAGTATTGTAGAATCACTTAGGTTGGAAATAGACCTTTTCTTTGTCTCCCCCACCCACAGCTGGAAGGTCAGTTTTGTGAGGAGAGACTTTCTGCCTGTTCCTGTGCTTGAGGAATCTGTGCCTGGGTGTAGTGCCTCTGTTCTGCTTTCTGACCCCCAGAATTTCTTCCCCAGTAAGACCCCCTACGGATGTGATTTATTTCATCTGCGTGTTTCTCCCATTTGCACCTGATGAGAAGAGAAACCAAATGATAACTAATGGTTTGCATGTTAGTATTTATCTGAGCTAGTTTTGACACGAGGGGAATTTGGTTCCATTTTCCAGTTTTCACTTTGCTCTGAAACACTAAGGCTTCTGGAAGCACGTGGAAAAGACCCCCACCACAAACACACCTTCAACCCCCCCATGCTGCCCGTGGCATTTGGCTGTCCCTTTGTTCAGGTGGTCATGTCTTAGTTACAGGATAGGAGTTTACATGTGAAACAAAGTATTTGTAGCTGCTGGGTGTGCATGAATTTACAGAAATTGGATGTGTAGGTAAGCGTTTACACTCCGGAAAGCTAGGGCTATTACCATGTCACTCTGCATTGCTTACATGTAGGTAATAGTGTTTTTGTCTTTTATCCAAATGCTGTCCAGATATTCATTCTTCTGAAAGAATTGTTTGTGTAAAAGTAGCCATTGTGTTATCTTTTTAGTTTGTCTTGTATATTCCAAGAGCCATATTGGAGGAGGACTTTTACCAGCCAAACCAGCCAGAGTAAAGCAGTAAATCTGGCCTTTATTTTGCCTTAGGTGCTTGGAGTTTGGGCTCATCTCAGCTGTCTGAAATGTTCAGAAAATTAGGTAATTTGTCCAAGTTAGATGTCCAGGTTCTTGGTTGGCACTTCTTCAGTGGGCTCCTCTTGGGTGACCTTCCTTTTTGTTACAGATATGTAAGGCAATTTGTCTGTCTTTAGTGACTGTGAAGGAGTCTAGATTCCAATGTTACATCTACTGAGCAAGAGAGAGCATTGAAGAGGGGGAAAACTAAGGGGCATTTCATAGTCTAACCTATTGGCTTGCTACTTTGAATCAAGGTAGATGGGTGTCTTGCTGGGTTCTGGGGATTCTTGGAGCATGTGAAAAAAATTTCTTTGGGGTATTGGGGATGTGCAAACTTATAATTTGAAAATTTTAACAAAACTATGATTTTTCTCTAGGTTTTGTCGTACAATATTAAAAGATCATAATTTGGCAACTAAACTGCCTTTCCACCAACTTGCACAAAAGAAGTCATTTCCTCCATCTGCAGTATTGCATAATACAGGTAAATACAAGCTAAAATAAGTAGATTAATGTGCTGTGGGATTTTATGTCTTGTGTTAATAATGACAGCCCACTCTTTCAAAATGTGAGTGTGATAAAATTTCCTGGGGGGTTTCCTAGGTGGTTTTTAGTGAAGTACTAGCACAATTGGACATTTGAAGTCCAGGAAGAAGACGTGCATGGCTTGATTTCTGCTTGATTAGATGTGTGTTCTTTATGGCATTCATCTGCCAAGATCTGCAAGGGACTTTGGCATAAAATAATATTTGGGCTTTGCTGCATTTCTTAATTTAAATTTTGTCTTAGTGTAGTTGTATCCCTCATGAGAGACTTCCTGTAACCCTCTGTTCTGCGTCAGCTCCTTAGCTCAGCAAGATTAAGCTGCTGCCTATTCCAGCAAGGATGAAGGCAGAGCCTTCCATATTTAGACCTATGATGCTTTCTTCTTTTAATTTTTCTCCCCTTGAATCTGCACCCATGGGTGCATTAACGTAATTCTCCATTAATATCACCTGCAAGGGTAACTTGGTATTACACAGAAAAAGCAGTGGTTAAGATTGAGTTTGTTGTTCCTAACAGCTTTTTGGAAGGCTGTATGCTCAGCAAAAAGAAACAAAAGTCTGTGAAACTTGCAGTGCAGAAAAACATTGTGCTTTTGCACCTGCCTGAGGGATTTAGCATTTAGCAGCTGCTTTCTAATGCTGTAGCAAAGAGTTTAAGGGAAAACAAAACAAACGAAAAAGAAAAAAACACTAAGTTTATTTTTACTTTTGATTTCAGAGCAAGCTTAATCCTACCTGGTACGGCAGCATGGTTTTCATTTCAGTTCTAGCCATGTAGTTACAACAGGTGCACTTTGACTTGATGTTTTACCTGCTTCTGCAAGTGTCCTACTAAAGTCTGCCTCTATTTGGTATTTTTTCACCTCGAGCAGCTGGCAGATCAGAATAATAAGAAAACATACAGCCTCCCTTAGAGGGTTGAAAGAAACAATGCAGATGTTAGCTGTAAATACAGCCAGTTACCAACAAAAAATTCTGAATGAGTTATTCACAGTTGTGCAAAGAACTCCAGGTGGATTAATGATTAAAAAACCTGGCCTTGGTAAGGTGGATCTTCAGCTGCTGAAGATACGTGCAAAATGCAGTGTCTACCCACCTGGGCACCTCTTCTGGGAGGTGCTCTTTGTGGTGTAGGGTGTTTGAGATGCTAATGTGAACACTAAACGATAGCTTTTAGTGATCCGTGGCTTTCAAAAAAACTGGCAGAACGTATTTTATTTACACCATCCATATCCCCTGCTGCAAGCTACTTGTGACTATGCTGTTGTGCTGGATGTGATTTTGGATGCCAACGGACCTGGAAGATGAGCAGTTCTTCCATACCCACAGAGAGAGCTGACGAGTCACTTGTTCTATCAGGACTGTTCCTTTCGTGTTGAAAATAAGTACTTTCATGCTAAGCCTGTTTTCTGTTTATAAAAGAAGTAGTATCTGAGTACTTGGCCATTGTGTACGTTGGAGTCAAATGGGTTGTTGTGATGAGAGACACATGCAGTAACAATCTGGCAATTTATAAATAGTGTGATTTGTCATCTAATGCTAGGGAGTCGAGAGCAAAATGGCAGTTTAGGAAATGTGTAAGCTCGTTCTGTTGCTTTAAATCCTTCTTTTTGAAGCTATGTGAGCCAGTTTCTCCAGAATAATTTCTTTATAAATATTATTTACTAGATATTTTGGGGTTTAAAATGTATTTTTTCTTTGCTGTGTGTGCATATTTCATTGAATTATTTCATGTGTTGGAAGAGTTAGAAGGAGAACTAGAAAGAATTAGAAGGAGTGGGACTGTCCCTACCTGATGTTGGGCTTTAGTAGAACATCA